CTCACCAAACTACCACCAGGAAAACAACCAGTCGGAGGAAGATGGGTCTACGCACTTAAGAGAGACATTGACGGATCTGAAAAGTACAAGGCAAGATTTGTGGCGAAAGGATACAGTCAGAAACAAGGGACTGACTATGATGAGACATTCTCCCCAACAGCTGACATGACAAGTGTGAGAATAGTTTTGCAGAAAGCAGCACAAGAAAACCTAATCCTGCACCAAATGGATGTCGAGACAGCTTACTTGCATGCCCCTATAGATCATGAAATCTATATGGAACAACCTGAGGGTTATGAGCAAAAATCTGAAAAAGATGGAAAATTAGTATGCATGCTAAAGAAATCTCTCTATGGCCTCAAGCAATCTGGTAGGAACTGGAACGCTTTGTTGCATATATGTTTGACTGAGAACGGTTTCACACAGAACCCAGCTGACAATTGCGTGTACACTAAAGAAAAGACAGATGAGAAAGTAATCCTGATAGTATGGGTGGATGATTTAATCCTAGCTGCTAACAGTGAAAGTGTTCTGGAAAGTGTAAAAGAAATGCTCACAAAAAGGTTCAAAATGAAAGACATGGGAAGGTTGAGACACTTCCTGGGAATAGATTTTGAAACAAGCAGAGGGTCTAGTTAAAATGTCACAGGAAAGATATGTGAGAAGAATACTAGATCGTTTCAACATGCAGAACTGTAAACCAAGGGAAACCCATGTGAACCAAAACTTGATTTTACAGAAAATGCAGAAAAAATGAAGGAGCCAAAGATGTTCAGGGAGGCAGTAGGAAGTTTGATATACTTGTCCACCTGTACTAGACCAGACCTGAGTTTTGTTGTCAGTAAATTGTCTCAGTATTTTGCTGAACCATCAGAACAGCACTGGAACACAGTTAAACATGTGTTCAGGTACCTTAAAGGTACAGCGGAACAGCAACTATGCTTCAGGAGAAATGACACAGAGAGTCTAGGTCTGAGAGTGTATAGTGACGCTGACTGGGCATCTGACACAAAAGACAGACGTAGTACTTCAGGGTACTGTGTTAATCTGAGTGAAGAAAGCTCTTTGATCTCATGGAAAACCAGAAAACAACCGACAGTAGCGTTATCTACTTGCGAAGCAGAGTACATGTCTTTAGCATCAGCCATGCAGGAATGTATCTACCTAGAACAGTTGCTTAAGGGTATGGACACATACAAATATGCACAAACAAAGGTGTTCGAAGACAACCAAGGTACCATTGCACTAGCCAGAAACCCAGTCTGTAGGCAAAGGTGCAAGCACATTGATATCAAATACCATTTCATAAGAGAAATTGTAAATGATGGCAAGGTTATCTTGGAATATTGTCCTACAGAGACAATGGTTGCTGACGTAATGACAAAGCCAGCCACCAAGCAGAAGTTAAAGAGGTTTAGTCGGGATATGTTTGGAGTTTAAAAGTGTAAAAATGTTTGTATACATTCAATTTATGTAAAGGAGAAAATTTTATTTGGTGTTTAATTTGATGTTATAAAAATACAATGGGCTAAGAGTGAGTGGGGGTGTTAAATGTATTGCACCCTTATACATTGTATTACGGTACCCGACTACCCGTATTGTTCTATTAGAAGGTATACGTGTATGTACGTGATGACGTTACGTTCTTCTTTACGTCTCATGCTTCTGAATTGAAAAAAAAAAACATGTGAACTGATCGTTGATGTTCAAGTGATGCTTGCTAATAAAATCCTGCAAGAGGATAAACAGCACTTAACGTTTCGTTTGTTTTTCCTGAACAAGAGTGAGGGTGAATGCGCACTCGGATGCTCAACAACGACATCTAAATATGTCTGTGTCCTACACAAAATAATAATAATAAAAAAAGTAATGTCATCGAAATGCATAGGCTATATCATGAAATGTTTGTGCAGGCCCCAGTGAAGTGTAATTCTAAAAAGGCAGAGAGAGAAAAGTCATGAATGAAATTATTCAAGGTAGCCTAAGGGCATGCAGTGTTCACTTATCGCGTCTTTTGCGCGCTCAAGTTCGTTATTTTAAATGTAGGTGTGAGCGCCCGTTTTTTCCAAGGGTGTCCGTATGGAGCGCACTGTTGGTCACGTGACAAGAACCAACCGGAGTGCAACCGCCCTAGCGCTTTGGAAAAAGGAGAACGCGGCACCTTGCGTTTTTAGGCGCTACAGTATATGTGAATGGTGCCTAATACCCTAATGAAAATCACCACTTGCCTAATAATGAAAAAACGACACTTGCATTAACACTTGCTTTAACTGACATTCTATTAGCCTAACTAGACTACTAAAAACAAGGAAATGTTGCTCCTATTGAAGTAATGTAATAGTTGAATGACGGTGGATTATGAACTCGCCAAAATGGAAAAGAAACTGTTTTGTTTGACCTGTTTGACCTGAGACCGCCCTGGCGATTTAAGTAGGACACCACTGCCATGTTGTCCATCCAGACCTGAATGGTGAGTGTGTGCTCTGACTTAAAGGACAAGTTCAGTATTTTACAATTAAAGCCCTGTTTTAAGATCATTTCTGATGAAATAGAATAGTTAAGATTGTTTTTTAGACAAATGCTGCTGTCACAAGAATTTTCGGTTTCTGTGTTAGCACTCCCCCCCCCCCCACCTTTATAATGGTAGCATAGGTGCACAGGAACAATCATTCATAAAAACGCATAAAACTTTAGTTTACAAAGATGTGAAACTCACTAAGTGGACTGGGGTGTTCACTGATATGCTCACACAAAAATCGCATCAAAAGATGCTTTCCAATAGGTGTTTTACCATTCGTTGTAAAACTATAGACCTATTTTTCCGAACGCCTCACAGCCGGACATTCTTCCGTTGAGAACTTGAATAATAGACAATTCAGCCCAGTTGGTGGCGATAATGCACCTTTGCCAAACGCAAGCAAACCACTTGTATACAAGCGACCTATCCACGCGACTGAATAAACCACAGAAAGAATACAAATAGGCCCATTTCCGTTTCCACGCGGCAGAGTAATGACGGATGTCACAGAACATACAATCGCATACAATACAAGTCAATGGAGTTGGAAAATAACCATGATAAAACCTGTTGGAAAGCATCTTTTGCAGCGATTTTTGTGTGAGCATATCAGTGAACACCCCAGACCACTCGGTGAGTTTCACGTCTTTGTAAACTAAAGTTTTATTTAAAGTTTTATTTTTATGAATGATTGTTCCAATGCACCTATGCTACCATTATAGACGGTTTCATCAGACGCGTTGCCATGGTGATGAGCTGGCCCAAAGTTAACTTCCGTTCTGTTCGTTTATTAGTGTTTACTGGATAATATGGCATTGACTACAAATGCAGTGAAATTTAAGGTGATGAGCAGGTTATTGAGCTGTGGGGTGCAACCTGACCTAGGGAGCAAACGCAATTTTTAAAAATAAAAAATGTCAAGGCTTTCTATGAGGGAGACGGCGGTATTAAAATAGCCTATGTTTATCTGAGTGATAACCGGTACAGTGTTTCCCATACATTTATTAGTGGCAGCCCACCACATTATCAGCGCTGACCGCCACATATTGATCTCCGTGTTTTTAACAATTTAAGATGGGAAAAGTTGTAACTGACTGCAGAGTTGCGTGCAGCGCATATTCGGACCCTCTCACTCTCTCTCTCTCTCGCAAACACATTGACAGCGGACCAGTCTGTGTATTGAATGGTTAGTATCATAAACAGCGCTGCACAGATCCATCCAAAACGCTGTCAATGTGGAGACCCACCTTAAAAAAGGTTAGCAAGCATGTAAGTAGCCTAGCTATGTTAACCTTATCAAACTCCGCCATCGCGCTCGCCACAGTTTTTTTTAACACTGCGGTAACTCAGACTCGTCGGTAGAAAAACATCTTGTCTCCAATTTTTGTTCAACGGGTCTGGTAGTGTCACATTTCAGTTTGGCCAGGTAACATTTATTTTCTTTGACTGGCAAGAAATACCAGCTACTAGGTTATTTACTTGTTATGGACTGTCTCCGCAAGTCTGCCGGAAGTTAAGTTTGGGCCAGATTAATGCACATGCGCAGTACCGTTTGTTTATGTTGTCACTGCTGAAAGCGTCTATAAAGGTGGGGGAACCCAACGAAACCGAAAATTCTCGTGACAGCAGCATCTGTCTAAAAAACAATCCTAACCATTCTATTTCATCAGAAACGATCTTAAAACAGGGCTTTAATTGTAAAATACCGAACTTGTCCTTCAAGGCAACCAATTTATTTGTTTTAGAGTCCATCACTGTACCCAAGAACAGACTGTTCTCATGAAATGGCATGTGTATGACACGCCAATTACTATTTCCATTTTGACGTGCTATCGACTTAGCGTTACATTACTTTATAAATATATGGCTTACCCCAACCCAGCTTAGCTAAACCTAGCTGTCACTGGGGTTAATGCTATTTATGAGTCTTCCCCTACCATCCTAGGAAAAAAAATATCGCTCCCCAGATGTAGATTGCTTCGTTTCGCTCAGACATTTAACGGTGTGTACATACACGCAGAATCACTCAGACATTTAACAGCGTAGACATATACACGCGGATAGCTCAAAATGCATATACTGTAGATAACACACCACTTGACTTGAAAGTGACGTGTATGTTTACGCAAAAGTCATGATGTCATGTTGCCAGGAAAAAATACTCTGGCCCTGGAAGCACCCAAAAGCACACTGAGAGAACACTTTCAGAGCACAATTTTTGGACGGTCTCTGATGAGACGAGAGAAACGCACATACACACACATACACAATCATCCCCACACACAGGCTTAAAACTTAAAATGTGGGATTAACTTATATTAATTACATGGCTTCTCAAGGAAATTTGTTAATTAAGTCACTCAATTCGCAAGATGCAATTAATGACAATTGTGCACCACCACTTAACAGCCAAATTCCATGATAATCATTGAATTGTTTCTAAACGACCATTTGCACCTGGATAACTGAGAGTGATTTTAAGTGTGATGATCATCTGCTAAATGAGCAACAATGACCACAATTCACTCCTTCAGTCAGTGAAGCTCCCACAGCCGTTCATGAGAGTTTAAATGCTGGGGAATATTCCCATCTTCCCACATAAGAAGAAGAAGCAAGCAGGAGGAATTACTCCAGTAGAAACTACAGACATACAGTACTATTGTAAAGATGGATATTAAGGAAGAACCCTGTAGAATAAAAGATGAAGATACAGAGGAACAAATAGGTTGGTGTTTTCCTTCATTCTCTTTAATGACTGATGAGGAACATTAAGATGAAACCTTACATATGACAATAACATCCAAATCTAGAAACTAGTAGACTAAGTAGTAAACTGGATTTGTTCTAAATTGAGGTTTTTAATAATGCTTTTTTTCTCATTTATATTTTTATTCAATTATGGGAATTCCTTTTGTTTATTGTAGACCTGATGGAAATGAATGAAGACAAACAGCATCAGTTTCAAAAACCTCATTTTTTCACAAATGAAGATGGAAATGCAGTCGTTTCAAAGACTGAAGAGAATTTCACACAGAAACAAGCTGGAAAATCTGGAGTCAAAGGATCTTTCACCTGTTCTGAGTGTGGAAAAAGTTTTATATCTAAATCAAAGCTGAACAAACATGTGATGATTCACAGAGGAGAAAAATCATTCACATGCTCTCAGTGTGAAAAGAGTTTCTCTCAAAAAAGTCATCTCAAAGACCATTTGCATTCTCACTCTGGAGTGAGATCATTCAGCTGTGATCACTGTGATAAAACATTTGTTCATGAATCAAGCTTAAGAAAACACATTAATGTTCATTCTGCTGTGAAAACTCACCTCTGTTCTGTTTGTGGAAAGAGCTTTTCACATCTTGCATCTTTAAAACAGCATGAGCATATTCATACTGGTTTGAGACCTCATATGTGCTCTGACTGTGGAAAGACCTTTACTACATCCGGCAACTTAAAAACACACCAGAGAGTTCATACTGGAGAGAAACCGTACAAGTGTTCACACTGTGAAAAGAGTTTCTCTCGGTCAGGAACCCTGAAAGATCACGAGAGAGTTCATACTGGAGAGAAACCGCACCAGTGCTCTTGTGGAAAGAGTTACAGCCATTCATCTACTCTACTGAAACATAAGAAAAATCACCTCCTTAACTTGTGAATAAGCAAAATATGGAATTACATTTAATCCAGTACTTTAATCTAAAATTAGTATTGAAGTTTTATTGTTTGACAAGGGGAACTGGTTAAAATGGTTGTGAATTGCATTGCAAGTGTTGCATGTGTTGTTCTTCCGACACCCGTATTGATCCTCTGTTGTGTTGCACATGTGCAGTAAAACACAGAGTGTTGCTGTATACAAGATGAATGAACAGTAAAGCAACAATGTGAAAATACTTGTGTCAGTGTCATCACTCAAGCAGTGCATGGTCATCTCATACAGATGGAACAAGAAAAATAGTTCAGAAAACTTTTATTATTTTCATTGAGCATACAGTTAAAATTAGACATAATTCTACTCTTACTCCAGTTCAGTGATGGTTGTTTTCCATTGTAAAAATCATTAGTTATATCTATCCATTAGTTCTTATCATTAGTTATGTAAAAGAGCCATTCTACTGAAAGGGTGACATTTCTGTCCCCAGGACATTAAATGTATAAAATTGCATGAAAATTAACTCTAAAATACATTTTATTATTCAGCAAAATTTCATGCACAATAAGCTAACTACAAATTTAAAATGTATAATTAAAAACATTAATAAAAACAACACAGAACACTAAAAAATAGCATTTTCTGCATGTCCCAACTCCCTATCTCTAAACTTTGCCATGAAATATAATGAATAAAATCATTCAGAAATCGGATTTTTCTTGTAATAGTTACACTATTACATCCCCTCTCTAGAATATTCCCCAAGACACATTTTCAACAGTAAGTTGCATCATCAGGATCTCATGAAGGCAATGGGGCGATCATAAGTCAGTCCTTTCATTTTCATTTCTGTAAATTTGATGAAATTGTAACTTTGAATGAGAAGGTCAATCTCAACATACAGTCCCGTAACCTAAACGTTTTCTTAGATTACATTTTTTAAAAATATTAACTTTTGGTAAGGCACTAGAAATGGCTCAGTGTCCTATCGTTTTGCTTAAAAACTCAATCCTGTTACTTTAAGTCCTGTTGCCATTTTTTTTCTTTGTCTAAAAGAAACCACTAAACCAAACCACTATTCTAAACCACTATTTTTATCAGTTTTGTCTGGCCCATAATTTATACAATTATTTAATGAATTAATTCTAAAGAAAAATGATAAACTTGAGGCTTAAAATAAAAAAAATGGCTTTGTGTTTTTTTTTTTTATTAAAATACACCTGGCTTTCATAGTGATTTTATTGGCACAAATATCAAATTTTTAAACATATAACCAACAATTTCTTTAAAATAAACACTTTCTTGCAGGGAAAACAAAGGATTTAATTGACATGCTTTCAAACTTGCTTTTTAAATGACACCTGCTTTTCGGTAACAGGATTGAGAAAATATGTGCCCATCTTCTGCTTAAATCTTGTAAAAAATAAATAAAGTTGCCCGAGATTGACCATTACACATTTTGAATACTTAAATATATGTAGTAATAGATTTAATGTTGAAAAAGATAAAAAAAAAAAAAAAGTTTATTTTTGAAGAGTTACAACAAGCAAATGTCACCCATTTGGTGGCATGGCCCAAAAATCATTATACAGCCGCTCTGGAGATAACAGTGATGTCATCGTCCATCTAAGTTCATCTCTCTTTAACTTCACTTATCTTTCACCCTTCAGTTGTCTTTGAGTTTCTCAGTTGTCCTCGATGTGAATAGATAGATCTCAACATCATAGTCACTTCTGGAATGGGACTTTTCAAATATTCAAAATATGCTGGAAAACCAAAAAATGTACAGGACCTGTATTTTTCTGAATAACAGTGGGCAGGTTAACTCCCAGACATAAATACACTGATGCCCTATTGGCTGCGGGGGTGTACATCAACAGCACCGCCATATTGCGGAGAGCAACTTGTTTAAAGCTCAAATCTATCTGTGGTTTACTTATAAAGATAGCGCCTAATTAAAAATTTTATCTGAAGTTTTCAGAGTTGTGAGATCCAGAAACAGTTGTTGATCACCCAGGTAACGACACAGAATTAAATTTATTATTAAAGATAAATAAACATTGTCAACAATGAAACACCCAGATTATTTACTCAGGTATTTACTGGCAAAGAAAGGGTATATGCTTCAGTGGGGTGGCTAAAATTGCTTTTAAGTAGACCAAAGAGTATAAGTTCGGTTTTATTTTCATTTAATTTTAGGAAGTTTGCAGACATCCACTTTTTTTATTTTTTCAAGGCATGCCTTAAGGTGCTCGAGTGAATTTTTTCCTGCCCGTTTGTCGTCTGTACTGCAGTGAAACGACAGATCATATTTTTAAATTATGCATCCCAAAGGGAGCATATAGAGGGAAAAGAGCATTGGGGACAGTATTGAACCCCATCGAAGGTAAGCAACAGAGGACATAGAGGAGCCGAAATGAACAATCTTCTCAATGAGAATCTTCGATCTGTCAAGTATGATCTTTAAACCAATTTAATACTGTTCCTTTTAGCCCCACATCATATTCAAGTCTGGACAAAAGAGTATCATCATGGTCCACCATATCAAAAGCAGAGGTAAGATCTAAGAGCATTAAAATGATAGAATCTCCGGCATACGTTGCCAGATAGATATCATTAAAAACCCTCAGTAGTGCTCATTCAGTACTGTTGGGGTGCTCGAAAACCAGATTGAAGCTTCTCATATATAAAATGTGAATTTAGATAGGCCTATAATTATTCAAAATGGCAGGATCTAGATCTGGTTTCTTAACTAATGGAAGTACTAATGCATTTTTAAGGTCAGCTGGAAAGATTCCCAAGCTTAGTGATTTATTAACCATGGTGAGTAAGCTTGGTCCTAATGTTTTAAAAAAAATGTATTAGACTAAGAGGTGGAATAATGTCTAATGAACAATTGCATGTGTATGATCGAGTCAGAACTGCAGGCTAACATCAGTGAGATCTCATCATGTGGAAACTGCAACTGTTGGTTCAAAGGGTCTCTGTCACGGTGTGGGTTTGTCTTGTCATAGTGGTTCCCTGTCTGTCTATTAGGCTACGTTCACACTGCAGGGCTTAATGCTCAATTAGCCTTTCGCCGAGCCCCGCCCCCCTTAGTTACTGCTGCTACCTCCGTCAAACAAATGGTCAAACACGGGCAGCGCGACAGATTGCCATGACGGCAAAGGGTATTCCCGTGCGTGTCAGTGACCTTTTTTGGAGCAATACCTCCGCGATATCAAGCAAGATCGAAGCAAAAGGGGTTACGGTATGCGGTGGAGGGATTTATTCCAAATATAAAATTAAGAAATGAATGAGACACGACTACTATTGATGCTAATGCTTACCAGTCTCAAGAAAAATCAGAAAAACCCCATGACCATGCTAAGTTACCTCAAATGCAACCAGCACAGCCTTGAAGATTTTATAAACTGGTTCAGTGGCTAATTGTTTGGAGTTCGAAATATATAACTTGCGCTGCATATTTATTCATTTTGCCTCCGATACAGGAGTAGCACGTTCGCTTTAACAAGCAGGTTGTTCATTACCACAGCAACCGATTGCGTGTCATGCTCATGCTGAATGCGATTTTCGTGTTTAAAAAGTAACTAACGTTATGCATAAGAGACGGAAAGAGGCAGAGAACCATACGTTATTTAAGGTTATTTCTATTCGTTACGATATTGATATATGAACTGATGTTGTCATGTAAGCTTCATGCTTTCCCCGTTGTGAACGTCCTCTAAACTGTAGTCTACGGTGCTGCACTGCTAACTTAGCTGACTGCTGCTCATTTTCCCAGAGAATATCATGGTATGTTAACAACAACCCTTTAGAAAATGTACAGTAAGTCCTTTGTGGATCCTCTTGATCTGCTTTCTCCGTGCTTCTTTGACTAATCTCAGTCGCACGCACGCTGCACGCGAGACGAGTTAACCATGTTCGACACATTTAACTGGAATTGGGGCGTCCACACTGTTTAATACATCTTAGGCACCGCTCGCGTTGTGTTTTGGTCTTTGGAAAGGGAAAAAACACAACTTCTCCAGACAATCTCTCGGGGTATTATGTGTCCGATTTACTAACGCCGTGGGCGCACCGCTTACTGTTTGACGGAACAGCTCACACAGTAACGGTTGCTATGATGTGTGATTGGACAATGGCCATTTTGTGGGAGGGGCCGGCGAAAGGTCAATTCCGATTTTTTGAAAAAATGAGATTTTTTTGCAAGGCCGTTCACGTTTCCAATTAAAAGCGACCTTTTGTGATCTCCTGTGTGAACGTGAAATGACCCAGAAGTGACCCGCATGCGCAGAAGAGTAATCAGCGGTCAACGACGTCACTTGTTGTTTGTGGAATAGTTCTTTTTTTCCATATGTTGCGAGCTTTTGTTTTATTATTATTATTGCCACAGCCCATATACAAACACAGACAATAATTATTTTATTGACGGGCAAAGTTTGCACATGAATGTAAGATTTTTCCGATCCTCACCATCACCGACCTCGTCATAAAACCCGTTTAATTGATAGTACGCGTCCTCGGCGCTCCTTGCTTTGTCGCCGGTGGCCGCGGTGAGACACTGGTGGCTGGTGTTTCCAGATTGGGTGTTTTTTCGCTACATTTTAAGGCATGTTTACATGTGTTTTAGCCAGGGTTTCGCCTGGAAGCCTCTATAGAAATCTGGCACCCTACTGTACGAAGTTAAACTGACAGAGAGCGCACGTTCACAGACACCAGAATGAATGTGTTCACAGTAATGTTCATCAGGTAGTAATACACTATATGAACGCGTTCATGGACTATCGTTCATTGAACGCGTTCAGGCACAACACTGGGGAAGAGACACGTCTGCAGCGGCCCATAACAGTGCAGAAACGCGTTGGAGTTAGCGTGTATAGACCTTATTCAGAGCAGCGCCATGACAGGTATGAAAGTGAGGCTGTGAGGGATAGACTTACTGTGTTTCCAATGGCATCCGCTGTAAAAAGCTGAATAAAGCTCCTAGATAACTTACAATTTTCCACAGCTTACAATGTCGGGATTTTTTTGTCAACTGAAATTTCTTGGAAAGATATTTTTCCAGTGTTTCATGAGCAGAACAATCCGAAAACACATTAAATAACAGTACAGCCCATTGAAGAGATGCATGTCTATCCCTCACAGCCTCGCTTTCATTCTCATTAAAAATCAAAGATGGCGCTGCCGTGAATAAGGCGTATTGGCTAGCTACAGGTGCATGCAATGAC